CGCACAGTGAGCTTTACAACTAAAATCGGCTTATAACAAACTGACGATATGCTGCTTGCTGCTAAAGCTTCTCCAAATAGACTGAGTGACTGCGACTGAAGAAGGCAAGCGGTCTGCCTAATGAACAGTAAAGTGGGCAACTTGGGTGGAGGATAAACATAAAATTAAAGCATCTTGTAAATAAAAAACATATATTGCACGGGTTGGCTTTGGGTTTGATAAGGATAAGCAAAGTTAAGACACTTTAATGCACTTCAACAATTTGGGTTATGGCTTTAACACGGTGGGCAGGCCTATATATATATATATATATTTATATATATATATATGTATCTATATATATACATATATACATATATATATACAAAGATGTATGGCGAGTATTGTGCCCAAGCCATAGCCGTAATTATCTTTTCCCCAGACTAACTCAAGACGGCTTCATATTTTAAGATTTCGCAAAAATAAAAAATAATAAAAAAAGCAACATCAACAACAAAATGGGTCGTTTTTGGCTGGGAGATAAAACAAAAAAAATGAAAAAAATTATGATGAAACTCCATTAATTTTTGTTGGCTTTGTTGCTGTTATCCTTATTTTTGAGGCCCGTTTGCGGTGGCTGCATCATTGTTAATGAGTTTTTGCGTATGGCTTACTTATAAGAGCGTCCATGCCTGGACCAGTTCCAAGGAACTTAGGACCACGCTGAGGCTCTCAGACAAAGTTGGTAACGAAAACTAAAAGCCCTGCCACTCAGGCTACTTAATATTTGCCAGATTCAAGCTCATCTTATGGGTACACTGTGGGTTTGCGAACTTCTGTGCGATTCTTTTTAATAAACTTCTTAGATCGAAGTTAAGCGGTGAACCACTTCGATGTTCTGGATCTCCATCTGCATTGCTGCGCCAATCTCAACAGTTACCAAGCTTTTCCCACGCTGCTGTCCAGTCAAACAAAATTAAAGCCATTAGTTTACACTTTACATGCTAATGGCAAAGGTTCGAAAAGAGCCTGTCGCGACCTTCACAAAATACCCCGCGGGTAGAGGATAGCAATGTTTGTGTTACCGAGGCAAGGTAAGCCATCCAACCTATAGTGATGAATAAAACCAATGAACTTTTTAATTGCCTATGAACCTCGGCAGCCAACCCCTGTCTGCAGACCATAGTTCCCGTTCCCCAGAGCACACCAGTTAAGGCTCATCCGTTTGGTGAGTCGCGTATTTGAGTAGCCAAACGCTTGTCGGTTCTCAGACTATATTTTTAAGCCTGCGTTTCGCAACAAATTAAAGTTTTATTGTTTGTTATTTTATTTAGACAATTTACGGCCTCCGTCGATTAGATATGAGTGGTGTTTGCCACACTATACTATACGGAATTAAGGGACTCTTTACGGGCTTAGTGAATCTTTTAATTGCAACTAGAACTAAAAACATACCTTCTCGATATTATGTAGATGCACTGAAAGGAGATTGAATAATTGGCACAAATTATTGGGTGGTTGTAAGTGTCTAAGTACCGATATGTTAGCGCTATATAAACACTTAAAAATGCATCCACGAATTTGAATTTCGAATTGAGTGTGAGAAGCACTGTTAAGAGATGATGCAGTAAAAATATTCTCTGATTATAACTACATAAAATGAATTTCAATCTTTGTGATCCTCAAATGTTATATTAATATATCCTTATAACCTCTCTAATAATGCAAGGCAGAGCGAAGAAGCAACTCAGTATGTAATTATATACATAAATGGGCACTGGAATAGTCACGAATTACCATTTGGGCAATTCCTAATTTTCGACTAGAGCTTTCTTAACTCTTTTATGTTATGTCTTTAGTTAAGGTTAAACAGGAATGATTATTGCAGTTTAGTGCAAGGGATTCAACAATACTCATATTACAGTATTAATACATCTAAAATCATGTGTTGTTCACTTTGTGAATAATATATAAATTGGATTTCAAACCACAAATATAATGGTGCGTGGCTTTTGTAACTTTCCCCACACAATATTGATTCATATCTTATGACGTTAGTCTGCTATTGTTGTTGCTTATGATTGGAATCAGGCAACTGAACACAATTACTGACTTTCTTTAATTCCAAGATGCAGCTTATTGTAGAGGGCGAGTGCGGTCAACGCGGTTAACTCATATCGGCGTATCAAATAAAATATTGGCATTTAGGTAATTAGTATAGTTAAATGTCATTTTCCCGCTAGGGCTCCCGAACGGAACGTCAAAGGCAAACAACAAAAGACGCGAGCTAAACAAATTTGGGTAGCCCAGCATGTGGCGGATCTGAAAATCTGGCAACTGGAACCTGATCACAGCGGGCGCTATCAACGACGGCGCTGCAGGTTCAGCACCTTTTGTGCGGTGTCATAATTTTCTCAGCAGGTGTCGCTGCTAATGATTTACATTAGTGCGAGTGGCAGAAAAAGAGCAAGGGAGAAAGAGCAGTTGGTTGGTCCAAGAGCAACCAGCGCATCAAAATGCAACGGTAGTAAAAATAAAAAGATGAAAAAAATCGAAATTCGTTGTGGGCAGAAGCGCTACTCTTTGATGTCGCAGCAGGCAAAGCAGTCAGAGAGGTGGCGGAGGAACTAAGTAGCGATCCGTAAGCAATTGAGTGGGAGCAAACAATATATAGTCTGAAAACAGTTTATTATACTTTTTGTGTTAAGCCCGTCCTCTTTCAATTTAGCCCAGTTAAGTACGGCTCCGATCGGCTTAGACCTTTTTCTCTACAACCACACTCACATTAGCATCCCTATCCCTGTCCATAACCAAGCCATTGGGCATTGAAGTGGCTCGGTGCGCTAATTTGGTCATATTGAATGGCTTTAAAACGAAACCTTGGCGCCAATGACGCCCCTATGGCGAACAAATACTAAAAAAAAATTGTTTAATATCGTAAGCTTTGGCAAGTGAAAATTAAAGGAGCGAGGCTTAAAATGGGTATTATATATTCATTTATGCGATACATGTTATGAATTTAATTATGTTCAGGTGTGTATTATTGTATTATTATTATACTTATGTATTTATATTATTATATTATATTATTAAAGAATTCTAGTATGTTACACGCAGAAGGTAATATTATCGACCCCATAAAATATATACATATGTATATGCCTGATTACGTTGAACACCCAATTGTATTTTACTATATCCGTTTGCATGTATGTTTGATTATCAATCTGAATGATCTCGACAGAGTATTGCTCAATCGGCTTAACTCGACTGCACCGTTCTATGTTTTAAATGCATGTTTTCTGTGTATAGGGTATCTCCCAGTCAGGTACTCTTGGCTTAAACATTGTTTTTTTTGTCGTGCTAATCGATTAATCAAATAATCTAGCATTTAAATGGGCTGAGACTTGATTGACTGCCTAACTGATTAACTAAGTAACTGACTTACTGGCTTACTGCCTGCACCGATATTATTTTGTATAATTTTCTTGCCACATACTCAAACACACTAGCATGGAGTCATGTGCGCAGTTGCACGACGTTGAAATTGCTCCAATTATGTTGCTCTGGTGCTGGTTTGGCTTTGGCTCTGTCTTGGCATCGAATCTGGGGCCAAAGTATTTCGGTGGCCACAGTTGGTCTGCCTGCTGTATAGCTCATCCTTTTTACATTCCATGTGTATATACTATGACTCGTTGCTGACTGGACTGGCCCCAATATCATTATACTGCCAGCGGGGCAGTGGCACCTCTCTGACACATTGCACTACGATAGCGTAGCAGCGACAAACGTACCACAACAAGTTTCGACCCGGCTACCAGTAACTGCCTATTCGCCCAATCAGCGCAAATCTAAATCTCAGCAAACAGTAATGCGGAAACAACTTGGCTATTGATTTGGACTTGGCTATGAACCCGAAAGCTGTCTTTGTGGGTAGTAAGCCGACCCCAGCAATTATTAGACTAATAGCAGCTTCCGCAGCCTCAATCTGCGCCCGATTGCTGGCTTCCAAAGTTAGCTGTTTCTTTTCCTATAGCTAATTTTAGCTGTAAAATTGGCCGCAAAGCAACGGTATAACTCAACTGTAAGCCTTTGTATAAAGACAAAAAGGTAGCTACTTGAATACTGGGTGGATAAAAGTGATCTTTACCAGCCCAAATTGGGTAGTAGTACAGTCGTTGACAATTTTGGGTCCATCAAACAGATGCTGAGCTGCCGGCAAAATGTGTTTGATGAGGATCATCGAAAGGATAAGCCGCAGCGGCCGTCAGATGGGGCAGGTAAAGTCAAAGCCGAAGTTTATCCTTGACCGTCGTCAATCACTCCGCAATTTCAGCTACATATACAGATAGAGCGAGTTGCAGACAGTAATTGAGAGTGTATGACAGATAGTGCACAAGTGTCAGACAATGTTGCTAAGCCGCTAGACAAAAGCAAAAAAAAAGAATTAGTTCTGGCCAAAAGAACAAAGCACTGACCGTGAAAGGTCATAAATGTTATGCTATTGTTGCGTTGTCCTCGAATTGTTGTCGGTATATAAAAATTGGAATAACGCGAAAGTACCGTAGTCGAAGTTGCGATCCTCACAAAAACATTTTTTTAAGAGGTATATGCGAAAAGGTTGCGTAAGGTACTTTAGCCTTAAAAGATTTTAATTTATTTTATAAAAAGTCTTAAAAAACTCCCGGAAAAAGTAAGATTTTAACAGTTTCTGACGTTCTACAAATTAAAAAGAAAAAGTTATTCAAATCATGCATTTAAAAACGTTCTGATATTTTTAGGGAATCTCATTTCAGAAATGTTTTTAAAGCGCGACGATCATAAATATTTGGAGCATTTAACGTTAAATGAATTATCTTTTGATTTATGTTGCGAATTAATTTTGTGGGTTGGCTTTGTATCGTTGGTTTTTTGCTAACGGGATATTGAGCATAATTAATTAAAATATGAATAATTTTCAGATTCGGTCGAATGACGCGCTTATTAATTGAGAAAAGTTCCCTTTATCATGCTCCTTTTAGGATCATCCCAGCTTAAGAGGTACTCCGCTAGCCATGCTGGCCGCCCAGTGCAATAAGCTGTCGAACAAATCACCACCGCCGCTAGCTGATGCGGCCGTTGGCAAGGGGTTCCATCCCTGGAAGAAGAGCCCACACTCCCCTGCAGCAGGTAGCACTGGCGCACCCGGTGGCGGCGCATCGAGCCTTAGCGGTAGCAGCAGCGTCGGACAGCACTCCCCATGCGCAATCTCAGCAGCAAGCTCGTCTAGCTCCACTGGCAGTGGAAGTGGAGGAGGAGGTGGCGGAGGCCAAACATCACGCAGCCTCCCGTCCAGTGCTAACAGCGGCACCATGGTGAACATCACTGCTAGGTAAGCAGCGCGACGGCGCACAGTGGTCCTATATCTAAGAATCTGGCTGAACAAATTATACGAAAGAATTGAAAGTAAAAGATAATTGTGGGTGTTATATATTTTATTAAAGTCACGACTTAAAAATTATTTTCTTAATCCAAAAATTGATCATTTAAAAATTCAAATAATATATTTATTTAAATTTTATTTTCCAAACGCATTTTGACTAAACATTTATTTAAAATAGATTATTTGAAACTTAAATGTCATTAGCCTTCTGTTCAAAGTCTAAATGTCACTATGAAAATAAAAAAGTGTTAAAATTGTATTTATTTATAGGTAGAAATTGAATAATGAAAAACAATTCAAAGAGTGTTAGTGCGAATACTTCATACCCTGAGTAAATAAGGAAAAATCAAATGCAACGCATCGTGAAGTTTAATATTATTTTCAGTTGAAATAATGTGTACACATATTCACATGTGAACTCGTGTACTTGTTCAGCTAGTTTTCTCTCAATTGGTGGATCACTGTGCGTTGCCCAGACAACAGCACGCTTTATACAACTTGTGAGTAATTTCAGCATATATCCTTACAGTCGTCCGCTCGCCTCGTCTTGCGCGGCCGTGGGCACCTCGGCCTCCGCATACGGCAGTGATTTGTACTTTCCCAACACATCCACATCGACAGGCAGCATGGTGGCGGACAATCATCACATGCATCAGGGGCTTTTGGGCAAAGTTGAAGGAGCCGCCTTTGGTTCAGTCTACTCGCGCCACCCGTATGATTGGCCGTTCAATGCAGTGACCGCATCTGCGCACAAGGCCGCTGAGGCAGCTAGTGTCAACTCGGGCTGGTGGGATATGCACAGCGCTGCCGCCGCCGGTAGCTGGCTGGACATGGGAAGCGCTGCGGCCGCTGGAATGCACTCGACAATGGCCAACTATGCAAGCGCTGCGGCTGCGGGTACAGATTACAGTTCTGCATTGTCGCACTCTCTTTCGAATACGGCACATTTATTGGGATCCGGACAGCACTTACTGCAGGATACATATAAAAGTATGCTGCCAGGCCAGGGCGTAGGTGGCTTTTCGCTACCACACAGCTCACCTTCAGCGGCAGCCACTGCGGCTTCGCCACAAGCTTCAACCCCATCAACACCTTCGCCGCGTTCTCAGCGACGATATGCGGGCCGTGCAACTTGCGATTGCCCAAACTGTCAAGAGGCGGAGCGCTTAGGACCAGCTGGCGTGCACCTACGTAAGAAGAACATCCACTCCTGCCATATACCTGGTTGCGGAAAAGTTTACGGCAAAACGTCTCATCTGAAGGCACATTTGCGGTGGCACACCGGCGAGCGTCCCTTTGTGTGCAACTGGCTGTTCTGCGGCAAGCGTTTCACACGCTCCGACGAGCTGCAGCGGCATTTGAGGACGCATACTGGCGAGAAGCGCTTTGCTTGCCCAGTGTGCAACAAGCGTTTTATGCGCAGCGACCATCTGGCAAAGCACGTAAAGACGCATAACGGCACAGTGCCCAATGGCATTAAAAAGGGCTCCTCGGAGTCGTGCAGCGACTCTGAGGAGGCAGCCAATCAGTCGGGTGAGTCGAACGGGTTGGGCGGCGCGTCCAGTGGCCAACAGACGGGCGCAGGTGGTGGCGGCGGGGGTGGCTCCGCCAGCTCCAGCTCCGGCTCCGGCAGCGCTGGCTCCGGTGCAGGCAACAGAGCTGGCAGCCATCCCGGCACCCCAACCTCGCTGCATGCGCATAGCGCCTCCAGCACGTCCAGCAGTCTGCTGGGCGGCGGTCTGCACCTGGCCACGCCGCACCAGATGGTCGCCGCGGGCGGCTCGCCGGTGATGCTGCATCAACATCAGCAGCAACAGCACCAGCAGCACTCGCATCAATCAGCACATCAGCAACAGCAGCAGCAACAACAATTCTCGCAGCAGCAATCACATCCACATGCGCACCTACATCATCATCATCATCTGGTAGGTGCATCAGCACCTAGTCCTGGTCTGGATCATCGACTGGATCATAGCGCGTTAGTCGACATTAAGCCACCGATGGTTTGAGGGTCGCTGGGACCCTTTTTGTTTACCAATTGAGCAGAAATGGGTTCCCAGACGCAGTTTAAAATGAAGCTGCCATGCGGGCAGCATTGGGCAGAATCATAGTTAATAAGAGTGGTTGCACACAAACGATACATTAATAACATATAACAAATTGTTCCGTGAAATTCGGATTTTTTTTTTTTTTATGAATAACGTCGTATGCGTCATGTTTTTAGAAGTTCGCTAATAGCTAAGCAATTTTTTTTACATATTTTAATAAAAATGTGTACATAAAAGTACTAAGAAATGCTAAATACAATTTTTCGCTTTCTTAATAAACAACAATTACTTAATAGTAATCAATTGCCAGCTTATTAAATTATGAAAATTAAATAAATAAAATATTAAAATCATGCTTGAATCCTATTGTATATATGTATTTAATATATTTCTAGATGTCTATACGAATATAGTTTCATAAATATCAAGATCCTCAAATATTCAACCATAAAATCATTGATACTACTAAAAAGTATGCTACATTTTTTTTATTTAGTTAAAAGTAAACAGGCAATTTTGTCATTTTTTTTTTAGCTCGTAGATAAAAAAACAATAATAAGAAAAGTGGATCTATTAACACGTGCAGCGTTTATTTAAGTTATACACGCATATATGGCTAAATAATTCAATGACACTTCAAAAAGAAAAGATAATTAAATATTTGAAGAGCTAAACTTTATGATGGAAAAAATTGTATTATTGTTTGTTGAACATAATGTTCAATTATTGAACACAATGAGCAATTCAAAAAATAGTGTAAGCCTATATTATTAAAATAATATTTCTAGTCCAATTATAAAAATTTGAAAGATTATTTATAAAACTAAGGATGATAAATCAAATTGTAAATCAAAAGAAATGATTTGCTTATAAACAGAAATTAACGATTGAGCTCTAAATACAAATTGCCTGAGAAAAATCGAAGTACCGACACAAGCGAAGCAGGCTGGGAGACAACAACACTGTAGAGGCGACCACTGCATACCATCTGACTCTATTGTTAACAGAGCTTAAGGGAGCTACATAGAGCGTTGTACTTCAGCGGCCGTTTTTCTTGAGAAAGGCGCACACTTAGCGCCATATTGTTAACTAAATCAACTTGCATGTTTTATTTTTGCTACTTAATACATATGCATAATATTTTTAAGATGCAAGCGCATTAAACTTTGCGACTAGATGTTTTTGTTGTTTCTTAATTTAATATAAGATCTACATTTAATATGTATGTATATGCAATGCTTACAGGAAGCAGATTGAGAAAACATATAGGGCTTGAGTAGGTTAAGGCACTTTTATGTATATATGTATATGTATATGTATATGTATATGTATATGTATATGTATATGTATATGTATATGTATATGTATATGTATATGTATATGTATATGTATATGTATATGTATATGTATATGTATATGTATATGTATATGTATATGTATATGTATATGTATATGTATATGTATATGTATATGTATATGTATATGTATATGTATATGTATATGTATATGTATATGTATATGTATATGTATATGTATATGTATATGTATATGTATATGTATATGTATATGTATATGTATATGTATATGTATATGTATATGTATATGTATATGTATATGTATATGTATATGTATATGTATATGTATATGTATATGTATATGTATATGTATATGTATATGTATATGTATATGTATATGTATATGTATATGTATATGTATATGTATATGTATATGTATATGTATATGTATATGTATATGTATATGTATATGTATATGTATATGTATATGTATATGTATATGTATATGTATATGTATATGTATATGTATATGTATATGTATATGTATATGTATATGTATATGTATATGTATATGTATATGTATATGTATATGTATATGTATATGTATATGTATATGTATATGTATATGTATATGTATATGTATATGTATATGTATATGTATATGTATATGTATATGTATATGTATATGTATATGTATATGTATATGTATATGTATATGTATATGTATATGTATATGTATATGTATATGTATATGTATATGTATATGTATATGTATATGTATATGTATATGTATATGTATATGTATATGTATATGTATATGTATATGTATATGTATATGTATATGTACATACATAAACATATACAAATTATATGTATAAATTCATATATATATGAGATATATATTAGCGTACTTTTTTTTGTCGACAAACACCAATGTAAATTAATCACTTAAAATAAATTAAACAAAATCTAAATTTTATTAAAAATAAATGTATCAAAACTTTCAGTTATGAACATTTTTTCGTTGTTGTTTAGTCATATTTTGGTAAATTGAAGAGCCAGTCCAATGTCGTTTTGAGCTCAATGAATATCAATTTGACAACGACAGCCGGATAACGTAAATTGTATATGTATCTTTGTATCTATGCGACTGTGGACTGTAAGGGTGTTTGTTGGTCGAGACCACAATACGGGGGATGCTGAGAAGCACACTTCTGACCCTACCTCTATTAGTTTGTGTGGCGGTGGGGCTGTTGGTGTTTGGTGCTTTATGCAGGGTGGGCTGACAGTTTATTTAACATTTGACGGTCGGAATGCTGCGTTGTGGGCGTCATCGGGGCGGCCCGGCCAACCTTGCCGTTAACGACTTAAACGTGGAAAAAGGCGATGGTTAGAAAAACGCTTTACGGTTTATGCTATTTGCTTTGGTTACGCCGGTTACTTACTTACTGGGCCCTGCTGCTATTTGGGTGATTTAAATTTTATTACCGTGGATTTGTTGCATGGGGTCGACGTCTGCCCAAGCGGAATGGGGATGAGTGGGAGCGACACAAAATAAAGGGAATGAGTAGATTGAAATTGAAGTATGTGCAGATTGTTTTTGATTTTTCCTCCTTTTCTCATGAGTAGATTAAGCTGCGCATTTATTTTTTCGGTTGGCATTTGTGTTGACATTGTCGATAGGGGGTCCAATTGCTTTGGGAATGGAGGGCTGGTGATAAATGAATTGAAAATGTCTGACCGTAAATACAATAATAATAAGTAACAAGAATGAACTGGTTTTTTTTGAGAACGCGGAAGATTTGATATGCTTGAAGACATACATATGCCTCAGGAGTGTGTTTATATGTCACCAGTATGCTTTAGTATTCCGATTCAGCCGACTCAGACATAGGACCTGCCTGCTGCAAAATGCAAACGTTCATGCCTGAAAGCGTGAGAGAAGTTGGAATTGGCACAGGCATATGACTATGGTATATCGACTCTGCTGTTGATACTGAAAAAGAATATTTGAAATCTATTTGATCGTAAGCGACTGTTTTTAAGCGTTTTACATTTCGTTACAATATAACGGCTTAACAACATCCTATTCAATAGTGCTATTTCAATTAAGTTAAAAAGTTTAAGGAAAAGTGTATGTACCAAAATTATATGTACTTGCATATATTTGTTAATATTTGGATATATGTATATTTTCGTTCACATATTCACACAAATACGCAGCATCAACAGCCGAGTTGACATATCCATGTCCGTCCGTCTCTTTCATAGCAAACTAGTCTCTGAGTTTTAAAGCTACCATCTTCAACTGTGCATAGATCTCATATGTCTGCAAAACGGAAATGTCTACAAGGGTATTACATTTTCGTGCCAAAGATATGCCTACTTTCTCGTTTTCTTGCAGATGGGTTGATGGGTTGTGGTTTTAAAGTCTATATCCACTTGACGCGAAAAGGGCATAAAATTAAACATTACTCATAAAAAAATAGCTGCGAATTTTTTAGCTGGGCCAAGTCATATTTGATGTTGGTAGAAGAGGGTGCAGGGTATTCCCTAGTCGGGAGCTCCCGAATAGAGCCTCTTTCTTGTTGTATATCCTTTTATGTACGTACCGTACATCTACTTTATAAAAAGTCTTCACTTTGTTTTGATTACGAACAGCTATTTTTAAGGGGTTTGGGTAGGGTTTTTCCGCAACGTTTATAAGAAGGAAAAAAAGACTATTTTCTAATTAACAGCACCTCAGCAAAAGCTGTTATGAACCTGCGAAATAAGAAGTTTTTCGATAATCAAATTTCGCGTCAAGTGGGTATAGGCCTATTACGTAGACAAAGCAATAACACTCTGCAATTTGTTGTTGTTTATTTTTGAGAATTGCTGAATATATTGGCCATAACTATCGTAAGCTTTATCCGATATTAAAAAGCTTTACGCCAATGAAAATCCAGATATACAATTTTTATTATGAAAAATGATGTGGTTAGGGATTCGCCAATATATAAGGAGCATAGTAAAACTTGTATATGCCAAATTAGGTGAAGATATATTCAAAGAAATAAATGTGTTTACTACATATTATGTAGTGGTCCGATGTTGAGAAGATTGTGTTTATATGAAGCGCGTTTACTGAATTATTTAATGCAAAATTTGATCAAGATATGTTGACAAAAATGTGTTTTTATTACAAGCAAGATCTAATTTTTCGACTGATCGTGTATATATCAGCTATATGATATATGTTAGGAGAATAGTCAAAGTAATAGGCGCCGAGTTTGGGCAAGATGTCCTGATAATCAAATAAGTTGATTATGCAAAAACTTAATTTTTGAGCGATCATTACTATGGCAGCTTTATTTTTTTATTCGTTTATTAGTGGTCGACAAAACGAGTGTCTTCCTAATTATTCAATACATTATATATACAATTATGAAAATTAAATGCTAAAAGCCTAGTTAGAGAACACAAATTTCTAATAGCATCACCGACCGATTGAGGTGTTTTATTTGCCAGTGCGGCCAGCTGTGCCCCTTTTCACAGCTAATTATGTCAGTGACGCTATTAGAGCCTACATCTAAGAAGAAGGGTGTAAGTAGGAAAAAAGGTTTCTTAAGTAAAATTAAAAATAATCTTAATATGCTATATTATTTAAGAAAATACCATAAATAGTAGAAAAGAAAGTAAGAAGATTGTTAATAGAGTAAAGAACTGTATGCTAGATATATAGAGTGTTAAGTAGATAGAATAAAGAGATAGTATTGGGAAAGTAATTTGAAATCACCAACCCGGTGGGGGAAAATTTACAGCCTGTCCGGCAAGCTATGCCCCTACTCATAGCAGT